GCCATGAAGTGCGGTTACGGCTTCTGTGTCATCTGTCACTGTGAGCACTGGTGAGGTCGTGAGCTAGCGGGCGAGTGCGGTGCTAAGCACAGGCAGAGCTCCACACCTGACAGGGCTGTGTGGGGGAGCAGAGAGCGGCGCCAGACAGAAGGAAGAGCTGCCACCACCTGGTTCTGTCCCCCCCCACCCCCACGCACCCTGGGGAGGGCTCTGCAGGTGCTGAGGGGAGACAGAGAGGTGGAGCCCACTTCCCGGATTGCCAGGGTGGCCACTTGCTTTCCACAGTTAGGCTGATTTCACACGGATGCTGAATGTCTCAGCTACTTTTCTTGTTGCCAAGACAACATACCCAATACCCAAAGTCAATGGAGGAAAGTTGTATTGGAGCTCACAGTCAGTTTGTAGATGTTTCAGTTCATAGTCGACTGGCTCCAAGGCAGGGTGGCATGGCAGAGGGCAGGGCAGGGCAGGCAGGCAGCGGGCAGGAAGCAGCAACCCTCTCCATCCCTCCTATTTAATCCCAACCTAAGAGTGTGCAACATTCATGCCCAGGGCGGGGCGCCCTTCACCCTACCCAGCACCATGCCAAACCAACTAAGTTAGTATTCACACACCCTTGACCCCAGCGTCACACCTCCTAGATCAGCAGCCTCTGAAAACGCCTCACCTATGACCACACGAAGCTTTGGGGAGGACAGCTAGACACATTGGAACCTTGCTGTTTGCCCACAAGTGTTCACAAAGGCTGCACCAAAGGGTGGAACCAGGCAATGGCCACAGCAATGAGACCAGCTCACACTTACAAAGCTCTACTTTTCTGTGAGTCTTTGTCAGATTGTTTTTCTGTGCCAAAGAGCTCGATGCAGATTCAGTACATTTTGTGTCCTTCATTCTTTTCGTTTAAAGTATGGCGCTTGAGCCCACTGTCTTTGCACCGAGCTACATCCCTCACTTCATTACAATTTTTATATTCAGATAGGGTCTTATTAATTCACTAAATTGTCCAAATTGGGCTCAAACCCTCCACCCTCCTGCCTCAGCCTCCTGCAATATTGGGATTACAGGCACCCAGCCCCCAGCCTGCCTGCATACTCAATTCTTGAGTTAGACCACGACCCTGAATTCTGTGGCCAAGCTCCTCCTGTGGTCAGCAGAAAGAGCAGGGGTGTATGTGGTGGGCCACATCACAGGCCACAGGATGGGGGGATGTCAGGAGGGCAAGGGATAAGGGGTAGGGGAAAGGGGGCTCTCAGGGGGACAAGGGAGGAGGTCAGGGGAGGGGCCTGCCAATGGCAGAAAGGCCATGAGGGCCAAGCACAGTGGGGATGAGCCAGTGAACTCAGAGATGCTTGAAGGCACCAAGCCAGCAGAATGGGACCGAGCTGACACCAGAGACAGACTTCGCCCCTCTGCACCTTTCTCTCAGCTATCATCCCAGTCCCGTCCCTCGAGCTGCTTCCCCACAGCTGAGGCGCAGCCTCCAGCACCAGCCTGGTCCTCTCAATAGGGATTTAGAGGACAGCAACCAGAACCGGCGCCCCTGTGACCCTCGCTTGGCTAGTCCAGGCCTCGCCTCCTCTCTGAGGCCCCTGGCCTTCCTCACAATGCCTGCTTTCCTGCTTCAGTGGCCTGCTGACACTGGGGGAAGAGCGGCCGGGGCCACCATGATCTGACCATGCCCAGGGCTGACGGCTAGTGCTATGGTCCTGCTGTCAGATCCTCCACTCCAGCTGGAGTCCCTGGCTCCTCCTGCTGCCTGGATCTCCCCACGACATCCATCTTCCATCTCCCATGCCGCCTCCCCAGCCCACTTACACTGTAAGCCATCATGAAGCCTCTGTCTTTTCTCAGGAAGCCAGTCCCGCTTTGCACACATTTGCCTGATTCAACTTGTCATTCAGCCTTGTAATTCACTAGCCGGTCCCTGATGGTAGGAACAGTCCTTTTTCTCTAAGGCTTTCTCAGTACCAAAAATGGTGCTTGGGACTTGTGCTCTTCTATAAACATTGGAGGAATGAATGAATGAATCAATCAATCAACCAATCAATGGATAAGCTAGGAACTCTGCTGGAGGCATGATGATCTTTTTCCACTCTAAAACACTATGGTGGCTGGAAAGGATTTTTTTTTTTTTTTTTTGTTTTGTGGCTCAGGCTGCCTTAAGGGTGGGTCTGGTAAGGCATGTGGAGCTGGGGATTGAATTGCGGTCCCCTGTGCCTGACTGGGTTTGCCCCAGCAGGTGCTTAAACAACTGAGCTAACCTGCAAGCCCCCTACTATGGTGGCTGGGCATGGTGGCACATACCTGTAATCCCAGCACTTGAGAGGCTGAGGCAGGAGAATTACTCAGTCTGAGGCCAGCCTGTGCTACATAGTGAGTTCAGGGCCAGCCTGAATTACATAGTGAAGCCCTGTCTCAGAATAAAACAGAAAGGGCTGGTGAGATGGCTCAGTGGTCTAAAGCACCTACTTGGAACAAGCTTAGCAAAGCACAGGGACCGCGGTTCAATCCCCCAGCACCACATGACAGCCAGCCCTGCCCCCTGGTGGGCTGAGCTGGCCACACACACACA